AAACGCAATGTATCATTCTATTAGAGATCTGCGCACTAGCACATACCCATTCAACATTGTGCAAATCTATATGAAGAACGTCAGTGTGAACAAGGATAATGATGACGATTTTCTATCGATACATTGTCTCTATTTTAAATTTTAAAATGAATTTTTTTCGTTCTCAGGTCGAGTAGTAGGTTCATCATCTGATATTCAAAAAGAATTAAGTCAACAAATGGAACAAATAAGTGAAGAACATCAAAAACAATTAACAACATTACGTGATGAAATTCGTACAAAAGAAACACAAATGGAAGCATTAAAAGAGTAAAAATTTTTGATAAATAAATTATATAATAGTATATTTATTCATTTAGTTCATTACAAAAATTACAATTATCATATGAAAAATTATCTGGTGATTATGACAAATTGAAAAAAGAAGAAATTGATAAATCAAGTCGATTACAAGAAATGACGTATGTTTATAATTATAAAATAAAAATTAATATGAAAAAAGTTTTTTTGTTTTGAAGTTTACAACAAGAACGTCGTGAACAAGCTAAACAAGATTTAAAAGGTCTTGAAGAAACTGTTGCAAAAGAATTACAAACTTTACATAATTTACGAAAATTATTTGTTCAAGATTTACAAGCACGTCTTAAAAAGGTTTTTGTTTTCATTGAATATTTCAATAATAGAATAAAATAATTATATTTTATTTTTTTTCTAGTCACAAAAACAACCTGAAACAGAAGAAGATGATCTTGGTGGTAGTGTAGCACAAAAACAAAAAATCTCATTTTTAGAAAATAATCTTGATCAATTAACAAAAGTTCATAAACAAGTAATCAAAGACAAAAAAAAAACATTTTAATATTTGAAATATTTATTTTTTTTTTCTTCTAGCTTGTACGTGAAAATGCTGATCTTCGATGTGAATTACCAAAATTAGAAAAACGTCTTAAAGCTACAATGGATCGTGTTAAATCATTAGAACAAGCATTAAAAGAAGCTAAAGAAAGTGCTATGAAAGATCGTAAACGATATCAATGTGAAGTTGATCGAATTAAAGAAGCTGTAAGACAACGAAATCTTGCTCGACGTACAAATGCAGCTCAAATAGGTAAAAACATTTTTTTTTTTGAAACGAGAAATTCGAATATCTATCACAAAACTGAAATCATTCTAATCTTTTCATCAAATAATGCCGGTTATAGTATACAGATTTCAAACCAAAGGAAATCTAAGTCCTAGAGATGAAACCGGTCTAGTATCGATCTTAACAAGTTATTGGTCTGAACGGATTAGATTTGCTTAGTCGGTATACCAGTCCGACCGATGTGAACAGTGAATGCTGTTGCGGCTAGGAAGCTGCGGGTCCGAGTTCAGTCTTTTATTCTTTTTGTTAGATCCAATTACATGTTTTTGTGAATCCGCTGCGCTCAAGATGAGAAATATAGCACGTTGAGTTTTGCTTCAGAGAGTAGCGAATAAATCACTAAAACCTTAATTCTCTACTTGTTCATGCATTGATGGAAAAACTTCGGGCTTGGATCCATAAAAACGTGAACCCGCAACTCCCTAGTTCCGACGGGTAAATACCGATCTACTGTCGAATGCATTGGGTTCGAAGTTTTCAGAACTGAATCCGATACGCTTTATGATCGACCACGAGTTCGTTAATAAATAAATTATTTTTCTTTTAGTAAAACCTATTCGAGCTGGTGTAAATCCATCAACTAATACTTCAACACCTATTCCAACAATTCGTGGTGGTGGTCAATCAATGGATCAGTAATAAAATAGAAATTTTTATTGCACATAGACATACATGTTTCTTAATGCATTTTTTCTGTTTCTGTCTACTTCTATTTATCATAATATTGTTTCGTTTGCATATGTTTTTGAGCAATTTTGTTGTTTGTGTTCGTACATCTTTTTTTTTCTTTTTGTTCTTTTAACGGTAAGCAAACAAAAAATATTTTATTTCTTATGAGAATTTACGCATATATACTTTTACTTCTAATAGCATAAACATTTTTGTTCCCTCTGTTTTTGGTTTTTTTCTTCTCGTCTCTTATATATTCATTATCCGCTTAGCGAATATGGATAATTTCTTCTCTTTTTCTTTTGAACAGTCCCATTATTGTGTGCCTGTCTTTAACCTTTGTCCAACAGCATCAGTCTATGAGGAATCTGGCGATATTTTTTTTTTTCTTCTGTTCAAATATACCTGTGTGTATTCGTTTATTTATGGTGGCTGTTGTTTCAAATGTTTGAAGTTAGTGTTTATTCTTTTTCTTTTTTTTTTTTTTTTTTGTTTACTTCATTTTGACTCTCGTCTCTTCTCACATAAAACATTTTTATTATATCTGACATAATCTTGCAATGGCGACTTTTGGAGCATATGTCATTTATTTGAGATATATAATGAAAATAAATAACTATGTCGAGAGAAGTATACTCTGCAATTTTTCGTTTTAGTTTTTTTTTCTCAATGTTTAATGGATGGATTTTTAATTTTCAAATGTTATAATAGAAAAAGTATAAGAAACATGTACTATTAAATAATAATCTCAAAAAATATTGTCAACACATTGATCGATAATTGAATTTATTTGACATTAGTATATTTTTCTATGCAAAGATTATTATACTATTTATAAGTAATTAATTAATTGTACTCTTTTGAATACAATGGTAAATGAATTATAATTGATTATAATATTGCAATATAATAATTATTTATTTATGCATGTCAAGAAATACAAAAAACATTTATGGAATATTATATTAGTTGCTAAAATTTTTTTTGACATTAAGTTCATTAATATAAGATTGCAAAACATTTGTTTCATCATTGAAATTTAACGCGGACGAAAATAAAAATGCTAGTAGTGTAATCCCTGTGGAATTAAAATGTAAAACATGATGTAGCTGCTGTTACTAATCACAGGAACATATTTCTTCATCATTCTTTTACTTAATTCTCCAGAAATATAATAATACAGTACTTGATGTTATTTATATATATATATATATGGTTTTTGATCGTATATCGACATTGGTGGGAAAGGAGATGAACTGTAAAAATACTTACAAAATTCAACCGATTATTAATGTAATAACAAACATTAATTAGCTCATGACTCGTGCAATGAATATCATAGAATCATCAAATAAAAATTGACATGTACATAATAAGAATCTCTTACTTTGTTTTTTTTATAGTAAGCCTAAAAGATATATAAACAATAGTCAACATTCTTTCTAGCTTCTTGTTTGATTAGTCAAGATTCTTGTTTTGTTTTTTTTATATACACTACAACTACTTGAATCTTTTCTCATGATTCAGACGTAACATCTTTATACGTCAACACGATTATTTACTGTTAAAAAGTAAAAGATAAATGCAACAAAACATACATTCCATTTTATATAATATGCAAAAAAAAGAAGACATCAAGAACAAAATACAAACAACACTATTTTATAGTGTCGAACTATAAATTTAATAAGTTCATTGTTAAGAAAAAAAAAAAGGACAAACGACTGAGATAGTAAAGACATTGTCATTTAATCTGAACTACTCAGTACATGAAACCATTTCAGACAAAACGAGAAACAAAATAAACTCTCTTCTAGTATAGTAATAATACATTTGTTCAATGTTCTACTCTACAAGAATATAGATCGAAAAACTATTGTTTCTTCATATAAAAGTCGTACATAAACGACATTCAAGTAAAGAGGACAGGAAGTTCAAAGTTAGTTTATTTTAAAGAACATTTTTAAATAGGAAATGAACTGAATGAATCAATTGAATATGAATATGATATTGAAATAATTCAAGATTATGCTACATGCGTAGATAGTTATTTTATAATAAGATCTCTATTAAAAATCATGTTCAAATTGAAATTCAATAAGAGAGAATCATCTAATCAAAAATTTAAAAAAAAACATTCGATATTTGGATGTCAACCAAAATCTCAATTCACTTTATTTCGATTCACGATTGTATCTAACCAAAACAAAAAATAATTTTAATAAATATAGAATATTCTATCAATTTTATATCGTCTTTTTTTTTTTTTACTAATACACTTATTTCTTTTTCCGGTTGCCACTATGTTTTACTGTCTATGAATAATTTCTGTAGAAAATTTCTAAAAGACAGAACAAAAGTTCTTGTGTCTTTTTTTGCGTGACCGTTTTTATACCAATATAACAAGAAAAAATTCGTAGGAAAAGAAAAGAAAATCTATACAATGAAAGAAAAGAAAAATTGCTATTGCATACAATAGAAAAGACGAATGAAAGGATGCATCTATATAAGATGTAACAATAGAAAGGAAGGTAATAATATATATAGAGAGAGAAAGAGACGTGTAATAAATAAGAAAAAAAAATCTTTAACTACCTAACGACAATCTTAGCTTGATTCATCTTGGTTGTGATTCTCTTAACGGTAAGTTAACTCTATACTCTTATGTCTATCATCATATTCTCAAAAACTTCTTGGTTATATAGTATGAAGAGTTTATTATCTTTTTAAGCAGAACAGTCTTAATAAATAGTCATATTAATATTTATTAAGAAGTACAATTATCAATGATCTTATTAAATATATAAAGATCAATAAATTTTACTCATCATACCACTATTAATAAAATATAACCTTGAACAAGGATGATGATGATGATGACGATGTCACTTTATTTTTCTTCAATTTTCTAATGTTTAATCTAGTATGAATAGATAAGAGTATAAGAAGAGACTACAAGGAAAAACAAGTTTAACTTTGTTGTATAATGAAAATCTGCTTTTAGTAATCATTGTATTTGTATTCAGTAACTTTTTTTTTTTTTTTATTAGAAAAACATCTTGTTACATGTTATATTCCTACAACAATAACAATAACAAATTGCTTATAGAATTATTAACAAAAGAAAAGAATTTTTCATAGAAATCTATATGTTTATCTTCTTTACGAATCACTAACGTAAAGATTCATGCAAATATTTAATACATATTATAATCCAGATAATGGATCTTTGCATCCATTATGGCTTGGTATATTGATATTATTCTTTATCATCATTATTCTTAGTATATTATGTTGTCTACGAATAAAATGTGGTTTACTATGGAACAATTTATTTAATCAATCATTTAAGAAAAAGAATGATAAACACGGTAAATAAGAATTATTTTAATAACAATAGCTGTTAGCGAAATCTCTATGGAATTATAAAATGTAAAATATAATATAGATGATATCGTTAATCACAGGGACATTATTTTATTCTATGTAGTTTGGGACACATTTCTTCATCATACTTTTACTTAACCTTACAGAAATACAACAAAGGAGGTATTTTAGATTTTATAACTAGATGCTGTTGATATATGATTATAGACCCTATATCAATAATGTTTGTTGCAGAATGTAGCTAAAGTGTCTATTGAGGGAGTCCAAATGTGTATCTCTATACTTCAATACTTCTTTTAGATCGTCTTTCACAAAAAATAAGTGCAAACTGTTGTAAATTGAATTGTTAATAAAAATAAAGTTTTCATTAAAATTTACTTTAGATTTTAATGTTAAATAACTGAAATATCTTTTCAATCTTTTGTAATATTCAAAACAAACAAACATTGATGTTAATTTTAGGTCATTATGCTTGAATATACTGAATAATTATTTGTTTTATAATATAAAAGAAAAAAATTCAATAGAATCTTTTCTTTTGAATTAATAGATTTTTTCACTTGATTAAATATCTTCATTTTTTTTTTTATAAAAACATATATTAATGAACAAAAATTAATATTCTATTCTTTTAACATTTCTTAAGATATTCTTAATTTTATTTATTCTAGAGAATCATTCAAATGATGACAAACATGCAACACGTAGTTATTCTTATAATTGGTCACCTATTTTTACGCCGTTAGAAAATGAATCACCAAAACTTCATCCATTTATTCGAAATATTCATATAGATAATTTTGATAAACAGTCATCTATCAAACAACAACAACATAATAATGAAGATAAAGGTAAAAATGAACTATATTCAACTAATGAATCTGATCATCATCATCATCATCATCATCAAGTATTAAATGAAATTTCATTTTTGAAAAATTAGAAGAATAAAAAACAAAAATTTGTATATTTTTATTAGATATCTATACTACCATCAATTTATAATACTCGAAATTCTGAAATAGCTCGAAAATTTTATGCAAGTATGCGTAATAGTAGTCAACATCTAAATTCTCCATCATGTAATAGTTTCCATAGTGATTCATCATTATCAAGTAATTATCAATCATCGATATCAATTCATTCAAATCAATTAGAACCAGAAGCAAATATAAACTTATTACGTACACCATGTTTTTTTCAATCAATACCCTATACAGGTTTAAAATATTCTTTTTATTTATTTCAAAAACAAAAAATATTTATATTTTTCTTTTTACTTTGTTTTTGTTTTAGATGGATTAGCGATAAGTCTTTAAGAAATAATTCTTTACGTCTTCTATTTCTTTTTCATGAATTCCTTTACTAAATACGATCATATATCTCTCCATATGATGTCTTATATTTATCATAGCATGATGCAAAAAAAATAAAATAAAATCTCGAATAGTCCAGATTAGATTCTCTTGTCATGATTTGTCATACAATGACCTATTTTCTATTTTTATTTTTCAAATTGATGAACTCAATATATATATACATTTTTAATTGATGTATAGGTCATCTTTTCAAGTCATCAATAAAAAAGAAAAAACAAAACAAAACAAAACACGAAAGCCACACAAACATACACACTCACAGACAATATGAAAAAATAATCATAATAATAATAATGATAATAATTGCACAGTAATTAATAAATCAAGATAATTCATTATTTACAAAGAAATATAAAACATTAAATACATAAACAAGAAGAAAAAAGAAAAACAATAAATTTTAAATTGTCATATCAATTGTATTAATATCATTTTTAATCGATTGTTTATCATAATTAATATCATTATTCGATGATGTTTGTGATGAATTTCTTGTTGTTATTGTTTCATTTCGTACTTTAACAGTTATAACTTGAACACTTTGTTCCATAATTTTTTCACCTAATGTTGGATGATTTGAAAATTCTGATTTTGTAACAACTTTAAGTGTTGTTGTTTCATCATTATTTGTTGATGGGCAATCATCATATGATTCTGTTATAAAACGACGTGATTGTTCACCATCACGTGTTTCTGAATGTATTATTTCTGTATAAGTTATATTATGACTTGGTAATTTAATTGATGTATTCATATCAGTAGATGGTAATAATGATTCTGAAAGAATTTTATTATGATTTTCAATTATTGAACTAGGTAATGTTGATATTTTTGATGATATATCATTTTCAATTTTATTTGATGTTGATAAATTTGTTTGTATTAATTCATTAAATATTTTTTCTTTATTAAAATTATATTCATCTTTATCAAATTTTTCTTCATTAACAATAAAAGATTTTGAATAATTATCATCATTTATTTTTATTTGTTGTGGAATTGATAATTCTTCATTTTGAAATGAATAAGATGAATGTTGTTTTATTGGAAAATTTTCTTTTGATTCATGTATTTCACCATGTTCTTGAATTTCTTTAACAATACGTTCAATATTAGTTATGTTTTCTTGTGTATCAATATGTGTTGATGATATTGGATTACCAATTTCACTTTCAGTTGCTGTTTCGATAATATTTAACATTATGTCATTCATATCATCGATAGCATTAACAAGTTTTGGTTGTATATCAGTTTCACTAATAGATTGTTGTTTTTCATTATTATCATCATTATGGATATTTTTAATTACTTTATTTTTATTTCGATAATTAATTTCAGTTAAATTAGTTGTAGGATTTTGTGATGTTACATTTGATGATAATATTTTATTAATATGAATATTTTTTGTATGTTGAGATGATATAGGTGATGATGTTTGATAAATAGTTTCAAGTCCTTTGAGAGCAGCATCAATTGAACGACGAAAATCATCACTAATTTCATATTCATTAAGTAATTTTGATGATGATGATGATGGTGGTGGTGGTGGTGGTGGTGATGATGATGATTGTTGTGAAGGATTTGTTGTTATTAATTTTGGACGCATTTTTACTTCTGTTACAATAATTGAACGAAGAAGATTTCCATCTTGATTAAGAACATCAGCATTATCATCAATAATTTTTACAATATAACCACCATTTGGATTAGCAAATATTGCAGCTTGTTTACCCTTTATTGGTTTTTTTTTTAATTTAAAATATTAAATTATAAATAAAATAAATAAATATATATTTACCTTATAAAATAAAATTCGTGCTTTTTCTAAAGCTTCTTTTAAATTAATACCGGGCTCACCGGATGATGATATTTGACCATGTTTATTTTCGGATATATTAGTATCATTAGTTATCTAAGAACATGCAAAAAAAAAAAGAAAAATGTTTATTTATAAGATATAGATTTTGTTGTTTTTTTTTTTTTTGTACTTCGCCATTAGTTATTATCGTTTGTTGTTGATTATTATCAAGTATAATTTGTCCATGCTGTAATTTTTCTGCTATTTGTTTTAGAATATCAATTGTATATGTAATTTTTTTTGGTGATACTAATGAAATTTCTTTTTGTACAATTTTATTTAATTTATTTATTGTTTTTATATCATGACGTTCAGAAATTAGATCTATTGTTTTATTAACTATTGTACGATAATCATTAATATCATTTGAATATTGTTGTACTGTTGAAATAATATTATTAAGAACATATTCATCAATTTTTGGTCGATTAGACTTTAACCATGTACGAAAATGATCATTAATTAATTGTTGATTATTATTAGATATTGTTGTTATTGTAGATAAATTTGAATTTTCTTTTGAATTTGTACAACCCATATTCGAATTCGTCAAAAAAAAAAAAAAAAGAAGAAAAAGATCAATAATAATTACTCATCATTTTCGGCTTCTGTTTTCTTTTGCTCTTTCTTCTTGGCTTCTGTGTTTATATGGATCCACATATATATATAGAGAGAGAGAGAGAAAGAAAGAGAGAGAGAGCGCAAAGGAAAAAAGTACTTTTCTTTTACCGCGCCTCTCTCTCTCTCTCTCTCTCTCTCTCTCTCTCTCTCTTCCTTTTACTATGTTCTAACTTTACTGCTATGCAGAACAGTAACTTCTATTAATGTCGTGCAAGCTTGTTGCATGTGTATGCGTTCAATTATTCACTAAGGAAAAGAAAGAGACAAATCTAGATTCAGCAACAACACTATTCTGTTTTTTTCCCCTCAGTATATGATAGACGACGAGTTGAACCATTAGCCTGAGAAGAACGCAAACGTCCATACTTGATTCAGCCTCTTTTTCTCTCGCTTAGTTATTATTCTATATTGTTATTGTATGCTTATTCTGTTTCTTTGATTCGATGTTACACCTTCTACAAAAGCATCGTCTGTATACGATACGTTTCATAATGAATTCCAGTAAATGTTTGATGTTCTTTCTCTCTCTCTCTTTCCTTATACATGATTGTTGACATGTATGTATACAATAATAGCAAAAGAGCTAAAAAAAGAACACAGATGATGATAATAATCCACATACTGATAATGATGACTACGATCGACAAAGCTCGATAATTATTCAATTTTTTTTTTTTTTTTTTTTGTTGTATATTTATAATCATTTTTAGCCTTAAGTGATACTATTCGTTTAGAATAATTTACTAAGAAGAAAATTTAATAATTCTCCGATGTTGAATCCTCATGAGTAAACCTGCATAACTTCTATAACGGATAAAAAATCAATTAATATGAAATGCTTTTCTAACATGAGTTGCATGCAAAATATATAAATAATATTTTCTAAATAAATCTTAATTATAAACATATAGTAAAAAAGCAAATATATAAAGAATAATAAGAAAAAAAAACCATATCGAGTTTGAATAAATCATATTTCCGATGTAGAATAATAAAAGCATATCAAAAATTCAATTTATACAATATTGACTAATGAATATAGAACAACTGTTTCATAATTATTTACCATATATTGATACGATCACATGCATCTTTTGATCTCGTCGATTGATTCGAAAATTGATGAACTTGCTTTTATTAATAATTCAAAAAAAAATTTAGTAGTATTATCTTCTATACAGTCACTAATAGAGAAAAATTCTATAGGGATTTTAATAGAAAGCGACATTTTAATAACTAATATGTTAATGTCATCTATCCATCTGTATATCGGAAAGAGAAGAAAAAAAAAAAGACTTTCAGCTAAGTTAATCAATAAGACAAGAAAAGAAGAAAAAAAAACACCAGACAAGAAAAGTACATCAAAATTTTACATGAAAATTCAATGATCACAATATATAGACAAGGCAATGTCTATTAATATTATATATTAATTATTCATATATGCATTGAATGTTGTTGACGAACATACAAACAACAAACTTTTATCTTAAAAAAGAATTTGTTCTCAAGTCATATTAGTTTGATTTGTATCTCCAAAAAATGTATATTCATAAGACACTTATTTCTTAAAATACATAAATGTTATAGAATATTAATCAGATTGTATATAATGATAAATCATGGTCAACGTCACTTTGTATAATTTATGAGTCATAATCAATGTTTTGTTTTCGCTTATATGATGGTGATTACTCAATCTCGAATGAAATCTAATAAAAGAAAGACATTTATTATAAATAAAAATGAGATCTGAATGTGTTGGTTATCGAATATTAAAATTGTTTACAACCATATGACTTCATTTTTTATTTTTCTATTTTGTTATACGAAAAGTTATTACACTATCTTAAATAATAACAATCTAAACATATGAGTTATCCATCTTTTTAAAATAATAATAGATGATTTGATAATATATATTTTTTCAATTTCAATATATGATTATTAATAATAATGAAATTTTTTTACCATTTTTATTGATTTTTCAACAATGAAATGTTTTTCTGTTTTAATCAATTGATGAATTTATTTTTACTATTTATTCAATATCATATTTCAATCTGTCGATTGTATTCACTGAAATATAATACTTTTTGCTAATTAGTAGTTAGAAAAATACCTTTATCAAAATGAAAGGTATATATTCCACGGATATGTTTCTGTTGCTAAGTCATAATAAGTTTAGGATATTTTTAAAGAAACAAAAAAATACATTATTTTCGAATTAAAATTCCTTGTATACTGATTTTAAATTATACATAATTGATAAATTTTGCAGACTCCTGATATCAAAGTATCATAACAGTAGACGCTGATGTGTTGTTGTTGGTTTTTTTTCAAATATGATAATTATTATTAAGAATAAATATATTTTTTTTTCCATTCGTGTCCTTTAGAAGTTATACACATCATCACACAAGATTTCATTTTCTTTTTTCGTGCTTATCCATTGTTTTTT